TTTTTTTTTTTTTTTGTATCGTAAGTCACGTAAGTCAGATCGTTTTGGTTCACGCGTTGCATCTATCGCTCGTGCTAGACACGAAGCGAAACGTTTAATCAACTTGCCCTGCGAGAGGGAACTTCGCGGCAACTGTTTAGCGAGAGTTTGGTAGTTACTGTCGTATCCTCCGTGGCGAAATTAAAGCGCAGCAGTTCCGCGCTAAAATAATTTCTGCAATTGCAACATCTATTTCTCTACAAACGCGGTCGGCGATAAGTGTCTATCGAGTTCTGAGAGATATTTATCGTTCGTTATTGGCTTTCAGTGAATAAAAATAGTCGGGGAACGAAAATGTCTTTTGACGTGTCATAACAATTGTTCACTGATTTACCATCTGACTTTGTTTTACCTCGTTGAAGGAAGATTTATATATATATTAATTTTAAATATATTAAAATATATAATTTTTATAACCGTATTACATATTTATATTTTACGAATTAAATGATTTATTCGAATTCTAAAGGAAACGCCTTATAAGTTTACATTATACCGAAGCACTTAAGTGTTCAATTATCTAAGTTGAGCGATAAACCGTAAACCTTACAAGTTCCAACTAAACTCAACTAACCGCTTCGTGTATGGTAAAGCAGCCGGACGAAAAACATCGTATCCGATCGATACGTATCTGTGCATCTTAACCTGTCAATTAGTATACACACGAGATTTCTTCACCTGCGCTATCGTCGCCAAACAACACCGGGACAATCGATCAAAAAGTTGGCAACCCGATCGAGACACGATCGCAATAGCGTCGTGGAAAGTGTCGTCCGAAATAAATTTACGGCGATAACTCACCTGTAACGCGGTGATTTTCTCCTGGCTCAAGCTTTTCCTCGCAATCTCATGTCCGAGAGCGTCCGGCAGGATCCTCGCGTCCGATATATCTCTCAGATCATGATCGGAATTCCTCTTCGGGCTTATCGAAGAGTCCATGGACTTCTTATGGACGCGCTGCGGGTGACGAAGTCTCTTCTGGATAGATTCCGGCCGGATCGTCTGATCACGATAGCCGCCGGATTGCCTGGAGCTGCCGCTTCTCGTGCCGTGGAACGCGTCTGCCGACGACTGTTCGCTGATCTCTTTCGGACGGCCGATATTTCTCCGGATATCCTCGTTGCCCGCTTTTCCACGAGAATTGCCGCGCGCTCTCTTTGATCCGTCCGCTTCCTTCTTGGCTTTCTTCAGCCTCCTCCGATTATTTCTGCCCCTCCTGGCCTTGTGCGACGTTTGCCCGATAATAAATTCTACCTCCTCCTCGTGATCCGGGCTCCTGACCCGTCTCACCGTCGACATCTCTTCCGTCGAATGTCCATGTTGCTCGTCCATCGATCTGGCAACCCTCGTCCTCGCCGCTTCCGCAACGATTTCCACGTGCTGTTCACAGTTCTCCGTCTGGCAGCCATCCTGCGACGTACGGTTCATCAGATCGAACAGGTCGTCCGGTTGGCCGCCGATTTTAAAGCGACCGGCGCTCGACTCCAGGGCGATCCGACATCGGATGCCGCGCGGGTACACGCCCGGATAACCCGGCGAGGCGAGTTTGCAGGACCTTCGGTCGTTCCTCACGGCGCACTCCAACGGGCACTCGGTCGACGAGGACGGGGAGAAACCACGATGACGTTCGGCGGCTAGCTGGGCCGGCAGTATGGAAAACTGGGCGGAGAAGATCACCGGATTTTCGGCGGCGAACTTCATGTCCGAGTCCATTATGATCGTTAAGTTCGGACCCTTCCTCAGGAACAGCCTGCCGGATAATTAAAAGGCTATAGTCGAACCGGTAACGCCTGGTTGAAATAGGTTCTTGCTATTTAGCGAGCTAACACCTGCGGTAGATGGTTTTTACGATGGTATTTCGGTGGTTGAAACGATATTAATGTTTGATATTTCTTGATGGAACGTTTTAAATATAAAATATGTAGCTGCAACAGATTTTTGCAATGTAATGATTTCATTCTCTGTGCTTAGACGGATTTTCTACGATTGGTGATATTTCTATAGATGAAATGTTGAAGTTCGAGTCCTTTGGACATGGTTCAAGCTGGCTAAAAATCATTTGCAAAGCTGATTGAAGACTTGAAAGAAAATATTAAGTTTCCTGTCGACTGTAATGCACATTTCTATATAGTTTTTCTCAGTATATGATTAATAATTCTTCTTCTCAAATAGCTAATTAGTAATGGAAAGAAAGGAATTCATTTAATTCAGGAATACTTTCATGTAATTCTTTCACTAACTGCTGCTTTCCACGAGAAATCAATAACAACGCACAAAAGATTCATTCAATATTAAATTGCAATGTTAATGAGCAAGAAATAAAAAAAAGAGTACGTAAGATATATTGAATAAAAGAGTAATAAGATAAATTGCGATAAACGCACATAAACAAAACGATCATTTTCCTCGAGAGGGTTAAATTTTCTTGATTAAATTAAACCAAAAAAAAAAGCTACCCAATTAGTGTAATTGAATATTACAGTAAAATTTAATGACGCGCTGTTACTGTTACGGGAAATTACCTGTCAAACGTATTCGACAAATACGAAAATGATTAAGTAACCGCGGCGAAATGAATTGTAACGCAGGAACGTATTAATAAGGATTACAAAAGAGACCCGAAAACGGGAAAATTGAAATTAAAGCAAAACCAAAATCATCGGGCACACGGACACACGGGAAATATTTGAACACATTAAATTCTGCGTTTATAAGCGGCTTGGAACTACCGCTACATTTCGACCAACGGGCATCTGTTTAATCCATTATCTACCAGTGGTATACACGTTTGATTTACTACTTGCTGTGAATACTATCCCGGCCGTTTAATTATTTTTCATTA